ACAGAGAGATGGGACAAGATTATGGGGCTGTGTTAATTTTTTTTTATGTTAGGGGTGGTGGACCGCCAGGGAAGACGGTGGCGCCGTCTTCGTCCTCCATGTCCCTCATGCGGTGTTTGGACGAAAGAGGGGAAGAGTTGCAGAGAAACTTGTTTGGAGAGATGAGGAGAGAGATTGAAAAGGTTGAAATGAGGGTCCTCTCCAAATCCTAGTTCTTTTTAAGTCCCCTCAGAGAGCCGTAGGATCAACGCCAAGTGGAACACTCATACTTCCCTTTTGGTTTGACTTTGACGAGTCAACCGTGTATCCAATGGTTAGCTTCATATTGTAGAATTCATGTAACCTTACCTTGGACCATCAGATCTTTTTGACCACGCTCAGTAAGCCCATCATGTGGCTTTTATTGAGTTAAAATCATGGACTCTGGAATTTGACTTTAGACCAGTTGGGCTTCACCCAGTTCATATTTCCACACCATAGTTTCTATCAAGTGCCCTTTTCTTCTTGGGCCTTTCCTTTTTCGTTTTCTTAACAAGCCAATTTTCTTTTGTTTAAATTTTTTATTTTATTTTATTTTATTTAGTTTTTTTTCATTTAATCTTTTGTTTAATTTTATTTTTATGTTTATCATTAATTTTATTTTTATGTTTATCATTGTTGCTAGTGATTAGTTTTAGTAGGTTAATATTAGTCTTTAATCTTATTTTCATCGCTAATTTCCATCATTAACCTAATTAGAAAATTAATTAACAAAAAATTATATAAATTAAAAATGAATCATTTTCATAAAAAGAATAAAAAGCTTGATCCAATGTCAAGTTTTTTTTTGAAATAATAAATTGAAAGCAACGCGAGTGCTTGATCCAACGTCAAATATTTCTCTTTTGTTAACACAATTTTTTTCAAAATCAATTAAACGCTTGATCCACGTCAAGTCGTTTTATGCGCAAAAATCCTTTTCCTAATAAACGATTGAATGGACGAGCTGGACATATGTCCCACCTTTTCCTAAATTATTCAGATACTAGCCATATAGCTTGACCATTCGAATAGTTGCAATCCAATAAAAACACCATTAATTAAATGGGTTTTATTTAACTCAATAAGCAGTAAACGAGTGAGTTGGACATACACCCTACCTTTCTCACGAGTATCTAATGATACTCTGTCATTGCATATATTTTGCCAAAGAATCGGAGAAAAACAAGTCAAAGATCACTAAATTGGTTGAATAATGACCAAAGAATGAAGCAAAAATTACCAAGTGTGAAGAAATAGGGACTTGGGGATAATTGGGTGAAAAAGAGAGCAAAAGAAAGAAAGTGACTGGAATAATCACGCCCACCATCGTGCACCATCACTTGTTTGATGAACTTGCTAAAGTTACATCGCGCGCATAATGGAGTCCATGACGCGCATTATGGGCCCTTTTTTGGGCAATTTCTAACGTGATGTGGCTGTTTATGAAGGCCTTAAATGGGACTTTTGGCACTTTTTTGAGGGTTATGTGATTTTACACTACAAGTGACGATTTACAACACCGAAAGTCATATTTAGAGCGCATTTGAAGCCATTTGAGGGCACTTATCCAAGGGATATCTTATGCAAACCTCTTATTATTATTTGGTATTGTAATTTAATTACTATGAGTAGCTAAGTTTCTTGAGGTTAGGTTTTGTATGATGAACCTATTTTAATATTGTTGAAACACATGTTTGATTTCCTATTGCATGAATAATTTGAGTTATAATTATATCCAATTGCTTCTTGTTCGTAATGCTTAGTATGTGAAATACTGTTTTAATCTGTATTTGGACACATAGGGAATACTGACCATTATTCTATGTGTTGGACTTAGAGCAATTATTATACTTACATAGGTTTAATAGGAATAACAGACCTCGAGTAGTGACTTATGAATTAACGTACTATTGCATCGCCTAATCTCACTTACGCTAATGGAATAGGGATATGAGACTTCTAGTAGATATTTGTGAGCTATACACCAAGAGATTCGCTATAGTGGTTTTGTTAGTTCGCTGTGGAATTATAATGACGATATCATTCGTGTAATACATCGAACATCAACAATATAGAAATAGGGGATTCAATACAAAACCTGACCGCTTTCATATTATTGACAGAACAATTTAGTTTCTTTTTGCATTTAAAACTAGGACCCCCCACCCGTTTGTTACTTTCTTAGCATTGCACAATATAGTCTTGTTAAATAGAAGTCTCTATGTATAGGATATCTTTTTATTACTTCAACACTATCGATATACTTGTCGAGAAGTCAACAATTTTTTTGCGCCATTGTCGGGGACTATTGATAATTTCAACAAGGCAATGCTTGTGGAACATTTTTTTTAGTTTTAATTTTTGTATTTGTTCAACCTATTTTAAATTAATTTTTGTTACGCATTACTACTAAGGTATTTTGTTTGTGTATGTGCAGTTCAGATAGTGCGGTTGAAGAACTAAAAATCAAGGCAACCATACCACCAACCCTAACAATGGGGGATTAATACAAACAAACGAATGCAAGATAAGTATCCATGGGTTTTTTACCAGCAAGTCCTGTGAAGTTTAACATAAAAAATAATTTCCTTTCAGGTCTCAAAGATAATCAGTTCAATGGAAGTGCAGTCCGTGATCCTTGGGAACACTTGGCTCGTTTATATGAGACATCTCAATGTGGCAACTAGAAGGAACCACAGAAGATCAAGTCAAATTGAGGCTATTCAATTTTTATTTAGTTGGGAAAGCAAAGGACTTGATACCGTGTCTTCCGAATGGAACCATTGAAATGTTGAAAGAACTAGAAGATATGTTTTTTGATAGGATTTTCACAACTACGCAGTTTAACTAGAGAATGGTAGAAATATTAAATTTTGAACAACAAGAGACTGATGAATTGCATGACACATGGGATATGTCCAAATTGTCACTACATTGATGTCTAAATCATAACATGAGCAATATGGAACAAATGCAAAATTTTGTGAAGGGCTACAAAATCAAGCCAGGATGCTTTTAGATGCAACAACGGGTTGGACAATTAGAATATTAATGGAACCACATGTAAGAGAAGTGATATATAAAATAAGCTTAAATGAATACCATGCAACCAGTAAGAGAGAAGTCAAGGAAGTGGAGCAGGTAAGTCAACCACAAGGGGTATAACCTTAGAAGACTATGAAGCCTTAATGAAAAAGATGAACCTTCTCAACCAGAAATTGGACGCAACACCAATTAACCAAGGATCGGGAAATTAAGTATCCTTTCTATTGTGCATAAACTGTGGTGAAGAACATTTTACAGGAAATTGCCCTAACGACAGAAGGTCGAAAGAAGTACACTCAACCAATAGTAATGTTTATCAAAAACCATAGCAAGGGCAAGCTGAAAAATAAGATTATATCACTGGAAGACACTTTGACTACTTTTATGCAAGTAACACATGATAGTTTCTTGCAGGCTAACATGCTACAAAATAGGATGAACGAGAAACATGAGGCAGCAATGCAAATACTAGAAGCTCAAATCAAGAGTTTAGCCCAACAAATATCGATTTTAACTAATACAAAAGGAGACTGTGATGCAATTGAGTTGAGAAACCAAACAGTACCTTCCACGCCTAAAAAGGATAAAGTGGTCGTTAAAAATTTGAAAGACAAATAGAAGGAACTCGAGGTGACACAGTCAGAGAGTGAAAATCTTAGTGACACCATTCAGATGGGGGGATACATTAGATACATGTATTGATAAAGACTCACCTTTAAAGAGAACCAAGTAAAAAATCATCAATGATCCTAGCCCAGAATTGCCAAATTATATTAAACCACTATACCCCATCATTAAGGAAAAACCTAAGAGAGAGATGAAAGTCTGACAACTTATAAAGTTCATGGAGATGCTAATAGTATTACAGGTAAATATTCTATTTTGTGATGCCTTGGAACAAATGCTGGTATATGCCAAATTCATGAAATAACTTTTGAATTGTAAGCGCAAGTTTAAAGATGATGAAAATGTTGCTCTGGAAGAAAAAATGTAGCATTATCATTCAATACAAGCTACCACTGAAGTTAAGCAATCCAGGTAAATTTACTATTCCTTGTACCATTGGTTCATTAAAAATTGGTCTAGCACTATGTGACTTAGGAGCAAGTATCAATTTAATGTCGCTGTCAATGATGAAGAAACTCAATTATGGAGAACCAAAGCCCACGAAGATGACACTGATTTTAGCAGATCAATCTATCACATACCCCTACAAAATACTTGAAGAAATCCTGGTAAGTGTTGATGATTTATTATTTCCAGCTGATTTTGTTATTTTAGATATGCTTGAAGATGCGGAGACACCGATATTACTAGGAAGGTCTTTCCTAGCCACAAGGCGAGCATTAACTGATGTTGAAAGAGGAGAATTGATCCTCCGATTTAACAAAGAGCAGGCTGTATTTAAAATTTTGGAGGCTATGAAACACCATAATAAAGATAGAAAATGCTATCAAATTGATTTGATAGAAGAACTGGTAGAAACTATTTTAAGAGAAGAAGCACAAACTTCTCCAATTGAGAAAATTTTTGTACAGTCCATTAAAAAAATGATGAAAATGAAATAGATGGAGATGTCAACAAATTGGTACTCCAATTACAAGTAGCACAGAAGGAAAGAGCCAATACAAATTTGAGGAATTGTGAGGAGGTAGTGAGGAAAAACCTATTAATCTTGAACTAAAAGAACTTCCAGAACATTTGAAGTATGTCTTCTTGAGTGAAGGTACTCTGCATCTAGCTATAATCATCAACAAATTAACAAAAGTGGAGGAAGAGAAGCTATTAAGCATACTAAGAAAAAATAGAGAAGCCTTAGGATGGAAAGTATCCGATCTGAAGGGAATTAGTCCAACATATTGTATACATAAAAGAAAGTTGGAAGAAGAATTTCAAATTTGATAGTTCAACCTCAGCGCATATTAAATCCAGCAATGAAAGAAGTGGTAAGAAAAGAGGCACTCAAATTTCTTGAGGCGGGTATGATTTATTCGACTTCTAATAGTTCTTGGGTTAGCCCGATGCATGTAGTTGCAAAGAAAGGGGGAATGACTATAGTGCAAAATGAAAAGAATGAACTAATTCCAATCCATACTGTAACGGGGTGGAGAATGTGCATTGATTATCGCATGTTAAATCTGGCTACTAGGAAATACCACTTTCTCTTTCATGCAATTTACTATACCATCAAAGTTCTAAATGAAAATCAAGTAAATTACATAACTACGGAAAAAGAATTGTTGCATGTGGTATTTGCATTGGAAAAATTTCGCCCTTATCTAATTGGTTCAAAAGTTATTATTTATACAAATCATGCAGTTTTGAAATATATATTAGACAAGAGTGACTCAAAGATTGGATTGTTGAGATGGGTGCTACTACTCCACGAATTTGATTTAGAAATTAAAGATGAAAAGGGAGTAGAGAATGTAGTGGCTGATCATTTTTCCAGGTTGGAGAATGCAGAAGTGATAAAGAAAGAAAAAATCATTAAAGAAAAATTCCCAGATGAATAATTGATGGTCATTAGTGAAAGACCGTGGTTTACAAATATAGAAAATTATAAAGCAACAAAAACCTTTCCAGAAGAGTACACTTGGCAACAAAGAAAACACTTCTATAAAGAAGCCAAATTTTTACCTTTGGGATGATCCATATTTGTTTAAAAGAAGTCCCAAGGGTCTATTTTGCAGGTGTGTTGCAGGTAGCGAAGCTAGAAGCATTATTTGGTATTGCCATAATTCACCTTACGAAGGACACCACAATGGAGAAAGAACCGCCGCTAAAGTTTTACAAAGCGGGTTGTAGTGGTCAACTCTTTTCCAAGACTGCATGTCTTACGTAACGATATGTCAAAAGTGTAACAAAATAGATAATATCTCATAAAGGGATGAAATTCCCCTCAATGTAATGCTTGAAGTCGAACCTTTTAATTGTTGGGGCATTGACTTCACTAGTCCTTTTCCCCAATCCAACTCTTATCTTTACATTTTAGTATGTGTTGATTATGTTACTAAATGGGTTAAGGCTATTGCTTGCACTACCAATGATTCCTGCATTGTTATTGATTTCTTGAAGAAGAATATTTTTACTAGGTTCGGAGTACCCAGGGTGTTGATCAATGATGCGGGGATGCATTTTTGCATCAAATATTTGTAAAAATTGCTGGAAAAGTGCGATGTTGAACACAAATTATCGACACTATATCACCCTCAAACTTGTGGTCAAGTAGAAGTGTCAAACATGCAACTCAAATAGATCTTAGAGAAAACAGTAGCACCATCATGAAAATAATGGTCGAAGAAGCTAGATGACACTTTGTGGGCATATAGAATAGCTTTCAAAGAAAATTTCTGACTACCAATTTTTTTACGGAAAGGCATGTCATCTTCCGGTGAAACTAGAACATAAAGCTTACTAGGTTAATAATTTTTTAATTTTGATGAAAAGTTGGCTGAAAGGAAAAGATTACTGAAGTTGGATGAGCTCGAAGAAATGTGTTTATTCGCTTACGAAAATGCATTAATTTATAAACAAAGTACAAAGAGGTGTCGTGATAAAAAGTTGGTAGGATGACAATTTCATAATGGGCAACAAGCTCTGCTATTCAATTCCAGACTTAAACTTTTCCCAGGGAAGTTGAAGTCAAAATGGTAAGAACCTTTCATTGTCATAGAAGTCGTCCCAGCATGTGCTATAGAAATTTAAGATCCCAGTGATATGCAAAAGTTTAAAGTAAATGGATAGAGATTAAAGATTTTACAGAGCTGTATCCACATAGATTTGAGAGTAGCCCACTTAGAAACATACACAATAGAGTCAGATGTTGTAAGTCTCTCAGCAAAGAGATTCTGAATTCTATCAAAGATACCAGTCCTAAATTCTTCCATTTGGGCTTGGATATTTGATGGAGATTATACTAGGAGTTGGTTGGGATGGTGAAGGTATTTGTGAGGATCTAACTTCAAAGAAGGATAAAACTATTGTCTTAGATCCTACCACAACATCTGCTTCTCTTTAAGGGGTAGAATAATCATAGTGTATAGAAGGAGGGGTTTGATGTTTAGGAGGGATTTTTTGTTCAAGAGATTGTGGTTCAGATTGGGTTTCTAGTATGGTTTTTTCAGGTGCAGGTTGAACAAGGTTGGTTTAGTATTGTATGGCATGTTCAGGTGTACATTCAAGTTTAGATTGCACATGATTGTTTTGAGCTTCTGGTTGGTGAGGTTTATAAGTTGTGGTTTCCAAAGGTATGGCTTGGAGTGGTGTGACTTCTATAGGCATAAAGTATGATTTATCAGAATTAAAACTCGAGTTTTATGTTGATTGAGGGATTTAGGATGATATAGTTTGATGTTGAGTGCTAGAGGTTGATAAAGGTTGATTTTATGGTATGGGTTCCATGATCTGATTAGTATCAGTCATGGTGTTTAAGGGAATGGGTTGTTTAGATTCTGGGATACATGCTAATTAGTTTTGTTCAGATGGATTTTGTGAAGTGAACTCACCAACTAGGTGTTTTGATAATTCATCTATGACAGATGGATTGTGGACATTTTTTAGAATTTGGCTGATGGCTTAGGAGTCAGAGTTTGAGGTTGGGGTTTGAGGTTAGAGTTTGAGGTTGGTTTACAGCTTCTGCAACATCTGGAGTAGCTTCATCAGTTATTTCAGTTCCCACAATAACTTCTGGAGTTTCTCCAGCTTCATAAGTTTCTCCAACATTCTTCAAAATAGATTCAGCAACAACTTCTACTTCCCCAGCCTGTTGCTTCAAAAACTCAACATCTGATGGCTTTTCCAAGGCCTTATTCTTCATATCAGAGGCCAATATTTAGGATCCTTCTAGAACAAATTCTATAAGCAGATCTTGAACCTGTTTCTTCACCTCCTTGGACTTCCTATTCAGAGGTTGATCATCTTCCTCATCTTCTTCTTCAAGAGGTAGAATCATCTTCCCCAGTTTCTTCACAGGAGCTGAGATTACAGAAGATGCAGTTGTATTTTGAAGAGTTCTTCTAGTGGCTACACTTATTGACATTATAGGCATCAAGATCGTTGATGAGACTACCTCTTTCACCTCATTTTGAACAAGTTCCATATCCTTCTTATTTTGTGGCTTATGAGTCTCCTTCCAAACTTCAGAAGCAACCACTTTTATCTTCCCTAAAGGCTTATACACATATTTTGGTGCCTCTAGAATATCATCCATAGTCAGAATAGCACCAGTTTCTTATATGGCCATTTTGATATATTCCTAAATCACCTATGGATTGTCCATCTTAGAGATGATAGGAAAATCATCAAGATAATATGTCTTGGCATTTCTAATTCTTAGACATGTTTCAGGCTTCACAACATCCTTCTTACTGATGATTTTTCGTATTTCCCAAAATAACAACAGACGTGATGCTCTCAAAGGATTCTTCCAAATTCTGAGTAGCACTATCTTTCTTTAAGGTGTGTTTGGTTTGAGGTAGATGGAGGGGAGGAAAGGGAAGAAAAATTCCTCCAAAACACACTTTTTGCGTCCCCTCAAATCGGGGGTTTGGAGGGGAGGGGAGGGAATATGAGTTTTGAAATTTAATAAATTAATATAGGTTTAAATATGTTTTTAGTCCCTATAAATATGACAACCTTCAATTTTAGTATCTACAAAAATTTTCTTCAAACAATGGTTCTCAAGGTATTTTTTGTCCCTATTTTTGGTCTCTCACGTTAGATTCCACCAACGGAGGCTTACGTGTCACGCCACGTTAGTTAAAGTCAACACTAAAGAAAAATAGATAGAATACAAGGATTTTAAACCCCTTTAAATAACTTTAAAAAAAATAATTTTTCATTATTTTCTGTGTGGGACACCCAACTCCATGTCCAGTATTACATTCAATTCGAGCAACAAATCTTTACAAAGGAGGAGCTACATATATTCTGTTCATTTTGTCGCACAATATTTATGATGATGGCATGAACAATTATATTAATTATACTGCCCATAGCCAATCTCATAAAACATTCACGAAAATATCTTTTAGGCACGCACTAACTAAGCATGGTATCAAACAAAGTCCATTCCAACTCTAATTTTATCGTAATTCTTCAAAGCTACAAATAGCATAGTCTATCTAATGTTTTGTTTTCTTATCTTTCTCTTTTATCATGTTAACAAATTAAATTTGCGAGAAAAACCTGTTTAGGCAAGAATTTGTATTATGTTTAATATTTTTAGATGAGGATTATGTTATAGTGTGTATTAATTATCCTGCAATTGGAGAAGGTAGAAGTGTGGATAAAAACAAAGAAAGCCATAAAGAACTCTATGACTTTAAGATAATTGGAACATCTATAGCTGCTGAATTCACACATAACATCATCTTGTAATCATCATCTCCCAAATCTGATAGAGCCTTGGCATTTTTATTCCCTGGATTTCATACCACTTCAGTTTCATCACCCCTTGAAAAATGAGAAACACTGTCTTATTTTAATGTCAAATGTATGAGAACCCAAAAATATGTAGTTGTTACCTTTATCTGGAAGTGCATTCTTCTGGAGTACAAAAGTTCTTTTCTTCTCATGATCTATTATGGCGATTTTATTCGGACTGCTCAAGTATACCTTGTCTGTGTACGAGGGAACTATAATAAGGAAACTCTTGTAAAGGAAATACAGTGTGTAGTTGAAACTATCTTATGATCTATTATGGTGCGATGAATAATTGTTTCAAAGAAAAAGGATGCTTTATGATTCATACCAACAGTTTCTCTAGCTCTTGATTAATGGTTTCTGAAACTAAATGAGCACCACTTTCCTAAATCTTGTTCCTCCACATTCATGATGATGATGTAAAGAATGAGGGTAACAAGGATTCAACTGATTGATTAAATACTTGTGAAAAATTATCATTTTAAAAGTTATTTAAAGGGGTTTAAAATCTCCGCAAGTGGCGTGACACGTAAGCCTCCGTCAATGGAATTTAACGGGGATCAAAAATAGGGGTGGAAAATATTGCGAGGACCATTGTTTAAAGAAAATTTTTTTAAGTACTAAAATTGAAGGTTGTCATATTTACAGGGACCTCTAATATATTTAATCCATTAATATGTTTATTAAAATATCCTCAGTTTTATTTTTGTATTTCAAAATTATTATTTTCTTTCGCGTTCATACTTCTCTTTTTTATGATTTTTCTCTATTCTCTCCATCAATTTATTATATTATTCTCCACCTTCAAATTATTATTTTTATTTAATATAAATTATAATCACATAAATTTTTTCCTTGTTTTATAATTTTAATTTTAAAGTTTATTTATGTTAGTTTTTTTCTTCTTCTAATTTTACTATATATTCTATTATATTTTCTTTTATATAAAATTTTAAATCATTCATTTTTTATTATATATATATATATATATATATATATATATATATATATATATATATATATATATATATATATATATATATATATATATATATATATATATATATATATATATATATATATATATATATATATATATATATATATATATATATATATATATATATATATATATATATATAGTAAGTGAATTTATGTATTCAAAAGTTATTATCAACACATAGTTTATTTTATGTCGAGAGTTATAATACGAATCAAGTGTACTCAATTTTTTAATGTTATGTGATAAGTTATGACGTTTTAATCACTCAATATTATAAATTTTATTTCCAAATAATATTATGAACTTTTTACCTTTGAATATTATATCACTTATATAAAATCATAAAGATAAAAATGTAAATTATTAATAAAATTCCTCTCCTCCCATCGTGAACCAAACATATTTTTAACCGAAATCCCTCCCTTCCCCTCTTCTAAACCAAACATATATATATATAATTAAAAAAATCTCACCCCTTCACTTCCCCTTCCCTTCTCTTCACTAAAATCTCTCCCCTCCCCTTTCCTATCATTCTTGTAGCTTTCCTTGATAGCTTCACAAAGATGATTGAAGATGTATGTAGTCAAATTGATCTTCTCTTTATTCGCAAGAAACCAAATGGAGTTTTGTGATCCCATGAAATATGACCAGTACTTCCTTTTCTGGGAATCAGACAACCAATTAGGATTCTGAACGTAAGCCTATATTCAATAAGCATATTCTTCACCTTTCCAAAGTCTTCAGAGTTCAAAAATAGACCTGATTTGATCAACTTAGTATCTTTATTGCTTTCTTTAGTGTTCAGAGCACATCTACCTTCATTCTTCACACCAATGAGTTGAGCAATGTGGTTATGAGTGATGGTAACTTTAACCCCCATCACTACAGACTTAATATTAACTTCATTAAACTCCTTTAATCCCATCTCAACTCTCGATTTCCCTTTGTTTGCTTCACCCTCTGCAATTTTTTCTATGACCTCAGAAGTAGCAGCAGCTTCATAAAAAAAATTCTACCCTAACCCAAAAATCCTTAATAAAATAGGGGTAAGTAGGACCATTTTTCATTTTGAAGTAAGGAACCCACCCTTGAGCTTCAAAATAATCCCTCAGAGAATACTCATTCACACTAAAAGACTTGAAATCCACCATTAACTAAAATATCAATTTTAGACCATTCTCTTTAAAATTCCTAGTTCTTAGCTTGAATTGAAAACCTTTTCCAGAATCTACTACCATGGGACCTTGTTGAGAAGAAGGCGCCATTGAAATGTGGTTTTAGGGTTCTAAGGGGTTTTTTGAAAAATGGGTGGTTTTTTCGAGAAGGGTTGAGAACGAAATTGTGGGTTGTGAAGTGAGAGAGAAAAGTGTGTGAAATTTGAGTATATAATGTTTTGATTGAAAAATGACTTTCAATTTTGAGTAAAACAAAAATTAATGGCAAAGGGGAGAATACAATATTCAAAGAAATTCATCATAATCCAATGATTAATATCTATCAATTAATACACACGTCAAAAAACCTTTCATGTACGTGACACATAAGTGGGATAGGTGTCAAAAAGAAGTTGAAAGATTTTCAACTTATTGTTGGCTGAAGATTTTGATGATACAGTTCGAAATGAAGCAATATGGATGTTTCGTTGGAATAAAGCAAAATGTTACAGTTCGGAATGGTAGAAGCGGTTCTTCGAACGGACATGTCAAAGCTCGAAGCTTCGAGTGACAGTTGTGAAGATATGTTTAAAAGAAGCCTCGAAGTGGTAACGAGACTGTGTCTGAGAAATGAGTTCGAAGCGAAGATTGCCAAAGCATTTGAAATTCAAACGCGAGCGGGATGTTGGAATTCAAATATATATGCGCTGGAGCATTCGAAGACACGTGGAAGCTAGAGAGGAGCAGTGCTCTGCATGTTCTGAACGTGGCAGAATCTTATAGGCAAGACCGTTATGGTCGAAGTAGTATAAATAGAAGTCTTAGTATTAGGATTTCGTGTGTCATATCTATTGTACAAAATTCAGTAAACATTCAAAATACCACATGGATAGGGAAACGAATGCTCGAACAATGTTCGTATGATAACACCAAACATTTATAATTCAGTAAAACTCTTTATCTTTTCCAGTTTATCTTCCATTTTCATGTCAATGTCATTCAAATACCTTTACATTAAAAGTCATTTACTTATTTCTTGCATTTAAACGTTTTTCTTCTATTCGAATCCTTTACATTTCAGAAACTCTTTTACATTTCATGCTTTTATATTCATGCTTTTTACATTAAAGTCTTTACATTCAAAGTCATTTACTTATTTCTGCATTTAAACATTTCTTTGCAATCGAATCTTTATTCATACAATTCAGTTTCGTATTTCTTTACTTGATCATGTCATTAGATTCTTTTGACATGGTAATCGAAGTGAATTGAACGTCTATAAAACATTCTAAATACAAATCCTAACTATGAATATCAGTTTTACAATTAGAGTTATCCAAACGACCAATACCCCATAGGATCAATCTAGTCGATCCTGCAAGTTACCAGAGAGATTAAATAACAGTCATTAAGATTATTTGATAGTTTTGAGGACTAGCGGTTGTTTACCAGAAATCACTGTAAACAAATTGGCACGCCCAGTGGGACCGTCATTGGTCGTTACGAAATTTAAAACAAAGTGAAGATTGTTGGGACATAATCATTGTAAAAGTGCTTTCTGAGTGATAAGTTCGTTGTTATATGAACCTTAGAAGTGGTAGAATAACCAATAGCAACCAACCCTTACCC